ACGAGCCAATCAATTTTTTCGAAGAAATCAGGGCCAATCACATCGCAGAATTTTCGAGGAAATTTGGGGGGGCCGCTGTGTGAGTTGTATATTAGATCTCATCGCGCCCCACTGAAACAAGTGAACAAACAAAATGGCGAGTATCGAAGAAGTAAGACAAAAGCTGAAGGAGGCGAAGGACGTGTTGAAAGAGTTTAAAGAGAGATATGGACAGAGGCTAACGACGCTGGAGGATAAGTTGTGGAAGTCGGAAGGGCGAGCCGAGTGGGAGGCGGAGAAAAAGCGTCTGGAGAAGAGGAGAGATGACTGGGAAGAGCATGTACTGTACTTGCAGAAGTCACTCATAGCAATGACTGCTCAACCTGGTAACGACTTTGTGACTCGGATGTTGGGGTAGAGCAGACATATTACTTGACAATGATTACTGTTGCTTACTTTTTGCTTTGGATGAAAGGCCCCTCTCTCTCAGATTCAGTTTCTAGTATTGCATCTGTGGGAAGGAAAAGGCGAATTGATAAGTTAACAAAAATCGCAGAAAGCAACAAGAAACAGAAAGCTGATGGAAAATTAGAATTCAGTGAATTTGGCAAGGCTTCTGCTAAAGTATTTGATGCATTTGGACTGGATCAGTTTGGACCTGATAGATTTAAACCACCATCTGTAACACTGCCTGATACTTTGGTGAATAAAATCTTTGAGGAATTAAAGGCAAGTGTTCAACTGAATTTTTATTTTGTAGTTTGCAAAGCAAGGTTCAGAGCAAACTGGAAATTGATTAGGGAAACATGTTATGTTTTTGATGGCTTTCAACCAATAGGCACGAGTGATTCTGTTGGGTTCAATGATTTCAGGGAAAGAGAGAAAGCGGGTGAGATTCATTGATGTGTTCTTGTTTCAGATTGCTGGTAAGCCAAGACTTCCATATGTCTTTTCTTGACCAGGTCTTTTTTCCTGAAATTACTGTCTTAGAACATGTAGGAAATGTCAAGATTCTTCTTGAACATGAGTTGAATGGAATTGAAGTTCCTGCAAATGGCAATGTGGAATATGTGATAATGATTGAGGGGAAAATCATACTTTTACTTGAAGCAAAGGTGGATGATTTTGCCATGGGAAGAGCACAAAATTATGTGGAATGCGAAGTTGGATATGAGGTAAGGCCAACTTTCATATCTGGGCTTGTAGTACTGCAGTGATTGGCATTCTTTTCCTCTCAATATAACTGTATTGCTGAAATATAGTTTTCTTTAATAATTGTAGTTGAATTGCAGTCATCAATCATATATCTATGGTATAGTGACAAATTCAGCCCAGTGGTTCTTTAACAGGCTTGACAGTGACAGTGTGAAAGAGTGCCTAGAGTCTATACTGTTTGATGTTGATGGCCTACCTACAAGGAATTCAGTCCGACACGTGTCTTGTATTATTGCAGGGATTATAGAAGATATGAAAGAGAAATGATGTACAGCAACATCAGTCCTAATTACTTGGGTTGGCAGACTCTTTTCTGTCTGGACATTACAAAGCATATAATGTTCACAAACTCCCAATATGACTCTTTCCCAACAGCACAACATGACTCAAATGACCCAAATGCCCCACTCTTCCAAGAATGTGACATAATAGTACCCTTTACTGACTTCCCAACTGAAATCCACAATGAAGACTTCCATTAAACTTGGGTCTAACGTTTTGATAGTAGGAAAGTTGACATTTATGAGGATAAACTATATATAGAGTTGCATAACTTCAATTTTGTATCCACAAATGCAACTTGTTAATGTAAGATCTTTATTGACAGCTAAATGCAACTCGTTACATGATGAATCATCATCCCCCACACTCACACAATCTTTGGTCTCTGAAAAGAGATCCTGTTTATTATTATATGAAACATTGACTAGACTAAATTATCTGATTCAAATCAACTGATAAAACTTCTGATACAACTCTAATACAACAACTTCCCCAGCACTGTCACTGATTCAGATAATGCAAATCAAATCTTCAAAAATACAAAAGCAACCTGTAAAGCATTCATCTAATATAGCCAAAAAAAATTTTCTGACCTATCAGTGACTAATTTAGATCTTCCAACATATAATGAAGCAGAATAATAATCAAACAGCATTCTTCAACACTTGTACTATTTTTCCTTCTATTACTATAATAATTTACAAACAAATACTATTATTCACACAAAAATATGAATTTCCACTACTACTCATACTCAGGATTTGAATATCCAATACAATATTAATATGGGTGAAGCCCCAAAAATTTATATTTTGTTCAACTTTATTAGTACATTCTTTAATACAGTCAGAATTGCAGTAAAAAGTTTGCTTTAAAACAGACTATATTCTCCTAGTTACAATAGGAATCTCAATACTGTCATCCATTTCTTCTCATCAATATCTTCTTTAAATATCTCCGCGATTTCTCTAATAAGTTGGTTATCGTCTGGAATATCATATACAGTCAACCCTGTTTATACCGAACGGGTTGGCATAGCTCTCTGTGTCCTTCCGGATCCGGTATATGGAAATATACATTTCCGATATAAACAGTTACTGTACAATATTCTCTTCAGGAATAAACAGAAATTCATTAACTTGCATTGGGTCTGTTCTAATTCACCTTCTAAGATGCATGTATTAATACAAAGAAAATAGTAATCTAATTCGTCAATACAAATATTGATCACGTGCGTGAATTAGGTTTATTACCACGTATTATATGGACGGGACCGAAAAATCATTACACGTACGTGCAGGATATAGGGGTGTGCATTTACCACTAAGTCCCAAGCTCGGGACCGTGCATTTAGGGAGGGTGTGCATTTAGAGGGTGTGCACAGAGGGTTTTGTCTGTAATAATTAATAATAATAATAATAATAAATAATTGCCGAAGCCAGCTTGCACATTATGAACTACACAGATTCAACTGCATTGAGAAATATTCGTAATAACTAAGGGAGATCTTAAATTATACAAAACTTAGCGAGGTATTGATGAAACATCTAACATGCAATGACTTCTTGTTGTAGATAAACCTCCTCATAACCTTCGCGCATCGTGCACGTGCTAGTTATAATCTAAATACCATCGGGAAGAGAAAGGTCAATCTGTTTGCTATCTGCATATAGAAAACAGGTCAATTAGCATCTCGTTGCGAACGATATCAAACGTGCGTGTATAATTCACGGTTTTCATACCTGCGGAATCGTTACGGTTTCTCGGTCTAGGCAAATCACCAGTAGGTAACAGCCTGCTCGAATATTTGGTTTCCTTCTCCATACGTGATAAAGATTTCAGATCCTTATTGTAATAAATAGCATTCCACGGATTATCATCAGATGTACTTTTTCTACCGGCTTCGCGGAAAAGGTCGTCGATCTGCCTATGAAGCTGCCATACATTCGGACGCTTATTTCGATCAGCGTCACAACACTTCTCGGCAAGTTTCTTGTATCCCGCTGGCGTTGAATCGGAAATCGTGGGTCGTAGTCCATTCATAATTTCGCATGCCAAATCTCTATCAAATAATCTGTCCCTAAACGGCGGCTCACCACTGGCAATCAAATACATCAGAATACCAAAGGCATAAATATCAGACTTTTGAGTGAATTCATTCGTATGAAAAACTTCCGGAGCAACGTAAGGTAGAACGCCTCGAACGGTGGGGGATTCTGACTTGGACGAATTTGTCGATTGAGACAGTCCGAGATCGCATATGAATGGCTTGACTGGATGAGAGTTGTCGTCATCCTTATTCAAAACGATGTTTCCACCGTGGAGATCACAATGTATTAATTGTTGGTTGTGGATTGTCATCAGATGTTCTGCAATATCCATCAAACATTGTAACTTGTCCATCCATGTCATGCTGTTAATATTCTCTTCCAAGTAAGTTAAAAGATTTCCGCCATTAGCATATTCCATGATCATCATGTAGTCGCTTGTTTCTGGTTCTTTCACAACACCGTGTACTTTAAGAAATCCACTCAATTTACAAAGAGCATGATTTTTAAACTAGCAAATAGATTAAATTGAATAAATTAATGGTTCGAATATTGCGCATTTAGCTCAAACAAGAATTGATATTGCTATTTACCTCAGAAATAAATAGTTCCGGCGTTTGATCTGAACTTTTATACCGTTTTAAAACAACAGGTTTACCAAACTCACCACACTTGGCAGTGTAAACTGTTCCATAACCACCCGATCCTATCTCTTGAATTTCATTAAAATCTTCAAATTTCATCAAACGTAGCTTGCTGTGATTACGCATAGTTACAATTCGTATAAACCGTTCTAGAATTGGACCCATGTTGAAGTAATACACTAAGTAGTAATTTCGAGTAAACGGCTCTTGAGTGATCCCAGCTATCCAGATATTATCTGGAGTTAATATTTTCGGTTCGTCGTCTACTATCTGATGGAATACGGGTCGTTACAACAGAAAAATCTCCATACATTAAGTAGAACATTTGCCAAGATAAAGACTATCTTACCTGATAAAAATCAAACGATTGAGCATTCTGCCCATCAACTATCTTTTTGAGCATCACGTTTGTCACCTTAGTTCCATTCGCTGTTGATTCTGACCAATCTGCTGTATATGCACATCCATGGGGTAACGATGATTTCTTTTGTATGTTTGTCAAGTGGGCAAATTCTATTCCTTGTACATAACTATCAAACCTATTCTTCGTGTTGGTCCATGATTCTTTTATGAACGAGTCCAGAGATTTATTACCGGTAGTCCAATCGGGAGGATTTGGTTCCTTGCACTCCCAACAGAATACACTGATACTGGGATCTAAAAGTTGGAAACAGGCCAAACATAACCTATCTTTATCCTCAAATTTTGATTTGATTAAATAATATTTTTTCTTATCAACATCGTAGGTGAATCCAATGCTAGTCCAAACATTAGTGTCGCCGATATCTGGATGGTCATGACATAACTATTGAAATTTGAGTTGCTACAAGTCAATAATCTTAAATAAGAGTAATAATGAAACCTAATACGACAGACTCGGCTTACCTGGTGATAGTATAAATCATCTGATTTATCTGGCGTGTCTAGTGAAATCAATTCCACATGCGACTTAGATGGCAGCCCCCTTAAGAACGGAAGAGGAGATGAACTATTTTCAAGTCGACTAAATGGAATCCATTCCAGGTAGGCTTCATTTGCTGATTTTGTTTGTAGTTGTGATCGCTTTATTATCTTGTCAATTTTCTCATTGTTGCTAGTCCACCCGCTTGATAATTCCTTATGCCCGCAAATACACCATATAGGACTACATCTAAGCATTCCGCATGCAGAGCAGAATCCAAGTATAGAATAGTATTGGTAAAACACTTTGCCAGCGACCAGATAGTACTTGTTTTCCTCGCACTTGGTAAACCCATATATCCGTTCATTGCGAATCTTGAGCCATAATCTATATCGTTTAAACTGGTTCATGTTGGGTAGATTGGAATGCTTGAAGCTTGAAAGCGAGTAAATCCTGGCCAATTCATGAACAAATTCTTCTGTACATTTGCCGCTCGTTAATAAGATCAGTGCAACTGGCTCGTCCCATATTTTATCATTTGCTGTGCGGAAGTACCTAGCGAAGTAAGTAGTTTTGTCTGAAGAATTTTGAACTGAACGTATATGCTCAAATCTTGAGTAAGGAATCCATTTAAAACGGGTATTTGGTTCGATTAGCTGATCGAGTATAGGGCTTCCAGAAATACTCTCGTTAATCTGCAAATCCATCACATCTGTGTAGTCGACACAATTACATCATCATCACTCACCGGGTCGACTTAAAGCAACGTCACACAGGCAATACAATGCAGTCTATCAGAACGAGACGGGATTTTCTTCACTATTGTATATCGAATTCACTATATCGGAATTCACTATATCGAAATTTCAATATAGTAAAGTTCTTAATAATACTGTTTTTGTATCAGAGAAATTCTTCACTATATGCTATATTCGCTGTATATATCAAGGTTGGGACTGTATCCTTTAAATTGACACATATAGTCATGTGTATAAGTACAAATATTGTGGTAAAGTTGACCAGTTCGAATTTTTTTTGGTATGTCGAATAATAAACATAATGTACAATACATACCCAGTCAGTGCACACCAATAGTTGGTCGTGTTGAGAATCGTGTTTGATGTGCCAAGACATTTGACATGTGTGCACAAAAAACTGGGGGCGAGTAAACAAGAGTGATTGGGAAAAAGATATCAGCTATAAATCCAAGAGAATTTGATCCGTGTTCTTATCTTAGTATCAATTCGTTTTTGCTAAATTTAAACACATGTATATGCATCGATAAAGAAACGTATGTGTGTATGTGTTGTGTGAACTATAATGGAGTTGGATGTTTGTATATTGCCAAAATTTTTATATTTATCGATTGTCTCCACTTGCCAAGCTTGCCAAGCTACCAAACAGGCAGCGCCAAGCACCAATCGGTAACGATCGTCGGAAGGAACCATGTTTCTAAATGAAGATGTATTAGGGACTTGATTGGATGACTCGCTTCTCTATTATTAAATGAAATTACCATCGAGACACGCTCCATAAGATATCTCTGACCAGTAACATAAAGGTACACATTAAATCATTTTTTAAGTTATGAATTATAATGTTTTTACATCTACACTAAAAAGCTGACTAATGCAAACAAATGTATAAAAGGACTCAACATCAGGCGCCCACTTTTTATCGAAACCTGCTCATTTGCAATTTGCTATTATGAAACTATACTCTGTTCTTGTTATTTGTTGTGTGCTCTTCGTCTTCTTTGTCTCGTGCGCCGTTCCATATCCTCAAAGAATAAAACGTGCATACGATGATTTTGCGCTTGCGTTGTTTGAAGAACACAATGGAAAAGGATTTACCGTAAACGGACTGGTTATAATCTATAGTCAAGGAAAGAAAACTATTATTCACGGACACTGGAATACTGGACTTGAGGGTAGCTGCTGGAAAGATTTCGAAATCTTTATCACTCCACGCAACCAAGAACAAATATTCGACCTAACGCCCCATATTTCAACAGTTGAAACTGGTCAAATTACGCGTTGGAAACTAGAGGTTTCTAAAATTTCGGTTAGTTCATTAAAACACCAAAGGATAATTGTCAAGCACAAAAATGCAAAAATAGGTTCGGCACTTATCTATGGCTGATGAGAGGTTAATCCAAGGCTATATGCTGCTGCTATCACCGCACTATTGGTGGGAAACTTTGCAAGTTTGAACAATGGTTCAATTATGTTTACTTATTATGAAACAATGTATTTTACTAGTATGGTTTATTCGAGGGCTTATTGTGCGGATATTCATGTATGTAACAAATTAAGACACTTAAGACTTGGTTATCACATGCTTTAAAATCTTAGTATTTTAAAGTTGGGAATCCACCATATAAACTGTTTAATGTAAATAAAATTTGTACTTATTTATTAAGATTCACAAATACCATCAATAAAAGGCAATGTGTATTAGACCTTAGTTATAATTATAACATAGGGTTTGTTCGAAAGCTCAACAATGTTTATACTGATAAAGACGGATGGGCATTTAGCGATTAAATTAATTAAGCATTTAAGGTTAATGGAGCATGGCGTGATTTCCGCTCAGTGGTACAACTCTGTGCAACAAAATAATGACCGGATTAGGACGAAATTCCTCAACAGCTTGATGCCCCGATCAAATTTGGAAATCGATGATAAAAATGGAAGTTATTTGGCATCAAGGGGCGTCAATTTGATGCCCCTCCCGAAAGGGGCATCCCTAAATTGGAAATTGTTTATTTTTCATATGAACATAATTCATTCATTGCAATGCAAAGAAACCTATTATTCAAACATCCACACGTATGCGGGTTTAATAATGTTGGAAGGTGTCCGAATGGCTTCAATAAATCGTTTAGTAAAATGTGTGACTGATCCTTGGCTAACACCAAACATTTGTTCTAGTTGGCGATATTCTGGAGGAATTGCTAATCGATGAATCACAATGCCAACTTGAATTTCAATAGGCGTTGAGAGCTGATGCCCCTACTTTGTACGACTTCCATACCATATTTGATCAGGCATCAAAGCTATTGAGAAGACCCATAATTAGCCAGTCCTAATATATTGAAATTTCTCGACAAGTCGTAGTCGATCAGAATTTTCGGTATTTGATCTGTTCTTTAGATCATGTCTTCAGCAAGACGTTGCTATTAGGATAGTTCCTTTTATTCTAATAAAGATCATATTTAATCATAAACATTGTTATTTTGTTCATTCCCTGGTAAAGTTACTTGCGTCGTTGGCGAATAGGATTGATACTTGCCAATCAATTCTATTTAGTACTTTTGCATCAGGATTACTATTTAATTTAACGTTAGTGTAGAAAGATACACGTGATTTCCCCGACCGATAGGCCCTGAGACTAATAATACTCGAGGTTTAACAATAATTCAGGAACAGCGTATACAAGGCCAATAATATACAGATCGTGAGTATAAAACCTAGTTAAAGATCACTAATTGTCGTTAGTATTTAGTTTGAAGTAGGAAGAGCAAAAGCTTCCGACAGACATCATTATGTAATGCACTGTTTAAAAACATGGTACCTTACTTATTCTTATCTGCAAGTGTACTCATATCTTATATTGCCCACCAGAAGAGATGATAGAAATCATATCCAAGGTATAATCCCGCAAACATATTCGAATCTTAAAATAAAAAATCTAAATTTCAATGTTAAACTTCACTTTAATATATATATCGTGATACCCAAAATCAGTGTTACATAATAATTTAAATATCTTACATTTTTTCAATCTATATCCTACTACTAATACTGACTAAATGAACGATACATCTCTGTTTTTCTTTTAGATACTTGCACATTTTTCGGATCAATCTCTAAGAGCCTGTTGAGATCTTGTGATGCAGCATCATACTGATTAAGCTCCTTATAAATATCCATCCTTACACTCAATGCCCACACATTATCTGAGTCAACCTCTAGTAACCTATTGAGATCATATAATGCGTTATTGTAATCCTTTAATTTGTAATAAACAGCTCCTCTTCCACTTAATGCCCATGCATCACTTGGTTCAATCTCCAGTGATTTGTTAAAATCATTCACCGCGTCATTATACCTGCCAGTTATATAATAAACATCTCCTCTTACACCCAAAGCCCATGTATCATTTGGTCTGATTTCCAATGATTTCACGAGATCATCCAATGCATTGTCATACTTCTTGAGCTCATAATAAACAGCCCCTCTTTTGCCCAATGCCCATGCATTGTTTGGTTTAATCTCTAATGATTTGTTGAAATAGTTCAAAGCATTGTCAAACTTTCTAAGTTTGTAATAAACAGCTCCCATTCTACTCAATGTTCCTGCATCATTTGGTCCGATTTTTAGTGCATGATTTAAATTTTTTAATGCCTGATCATATACGTTGAGTTTGTAATAGACTTCACCCTTTCTACTCAATGCCTTTGTATTATTTGGCTCGATTGCTAAAGACCGGTCAAGATCACTTATGGCACTTTCATACAGGCCAAGTAGACAGTAGACCTCTCCTCTTCTGCTTAATGTCCACGAGTCATATGGTTCAATCTCCAACGACTTGCTAAAATCCTTTAAAGCATTATTGTATTGATTGAGCATACGATAAACATCTCCTCTTTTTTTTAACACAAAGACGTTATTTGGTTCAGTTTCTAATGAATTATTTAAATCATTCAAGGCATTGTCGTACTGGTTAAGCTTGTAATATACATCTCCTCTTCTGCTCAACGCCCACGCATTCTTCGGTTTGATCTTCAATGATTTATTGAGATCATGTAACGCTTTATTATACTCTTTAAGTTTGTTGTAGACGTCTCCCCTTCGGCTCAATGCCCATGCATTATTCGGCTCAATCTCCAATGATACTGTCAGATCATTTAATGCACTGTAATATTGATCAATCGAACTGTAAAGATTTCCTCTTTTACTTAGAACCCACATGTTATTCGGTTCAATCTCCAATGACCTATTGAGATCGCTCAGCGCATTGTCATACTGCTGTAGCTGATGATAAGCAACTCCTCGTCTACTCAATGTAAACGCATCGGCTGGTTTAATTAATAATGTCTTGTTAAAATCGTTCAATGCATCATCATATATTTTAAGCTTATAACTGACTAGTCCTCTTATAGTCAATGCCCATGCATTCAGTGGTTCAACCTCCAAAGATTTATTGAGATCGTTCAGCGAATTTTTGTACTGTTTAAGCTTGTAATAAATGACTCCTCTTCTACTCAAAGTCCATGCATTTTCTGGTTCAATTTCTAATGATTTGCTAAAATCATTCAATGCCTTGCCATGCTGGTTGAGTAAGCTGTAAACATCTCCTCTTTTGTTTAATCTTGATACATCACCTGGATCAATCTTCAACAGTTCATTAAAATCTTTTAATGCATTACTATATTTGTTAAGCTTACAGTGTATGTCACCTCTCCTTTTCAATGCTAGTGTGTCATCTGGATCAATTTCTAATAACTTATTGACATCACTCAATGCACTGTTATATTGTTTAAGTTCAAAATAGATATCTCCCCTAACATTCAATGTCCATACATCATTTGGTTCAATCTTTAATGAAGTATTAAGATCACCTAGAGCCTCAGTATGCATTTCAAGCTTAAAATAAACATCTCCTCTTTTGCTCAATGCCCATGGGTTATCTGGTTCAATCTCCAATGATGTACTGAGATCATTTAAGGCATTGTCATACTGTTTAAGCAGACGATAAATATCTCCCCTTTTACTCAATGCCCATGGGTTATCTGGATCAATCTCTAACAATTTATTAAAATCTGCCAATGAATTCTCATATTGATTAAGTGTGTAGTAGGTATCTCCTCGCATTTTCAATGCTAATAAATTGTTTGGCTCAATCTCCAATGATTGGGTAAAATCATCCAATGCATCATTATACAGGTCAAGCATATAGTATACCTCTCCTCTTGTTCTCAATGTTGACACATCATTTGGCCTGATCTCTAATGATTTATTAAGATCCATTAATGCACAATTATATTGATTTAGTATGAGGTAGACATCTCCTGATCTACTCAATGTCCATGCATCATTTGGCTCAAGTTCTAGTGATTTATCAAGATCATTCAGAGCATCATTGTATCTTTCAAGTTGGTAATATACAGCTCCTCTTACACTCAATGCCCATGTATTATTTGGTTCAATCTCCAATGACTTGCTAAGATCACTTAATGCATCATCAAATTGAGTGAGCATGAGATAGATGTGTCCCCTTATTTTTAATGCAAATGCATTGTTTGGTTCAATCTTTAATGAGTGACTGAGATTATATAATGCACCATTGTATTCTTTAAGCATGAAATAAGTTTTCCCCCTTCTATACATTGTATCCGCATTGTTTGGCTTAATCCTTAGTGATTTATTGAAATCAGCCAATGCTTCATCATATTTATTAAGCATCAGATAGATATCTCCCCTAATACACAATGCTAGTGCATCATCTGGCTCAACTTCTAATGACTTATTGATATCAACCAATGCATCATCATATCTGCTGAGCATATAATAAACATCTCCCCTTATTTTTAATGCAAAGGCATTATTTGGTTCAATTTCCAATCCTGCATTGAGATCGCCTAATGCATCGTTGTGCTGACCAAGTCTGCAATAAACATTCCCTCTTACGCTCAATGTCCACATATCATTTGGTTCAATCCTCAATGATTCATTGAGATCATCCAATGCATCGTCATATTTTTCAAGTTTACCATAAATGGCTCCTCTTACACTCAATGCCCATGCACTACCTGGTTCAATGTCCAATACATTGTTTAAATCGTTGAGTGCATTGTCAGTTTGTTCAAGTAAACGATAGACGTCTCCTCTTCTACTCAACGTGTATATCTTGTTTGGTTCGAGCTCCAGTAACACAGTAAGATCATTTAATGCATCATTATATTGATTGAGCTTGCAATAAACGTCTATTCGTTTCTTCAACACAAATACATTGTTAGGCTCAATCTTCAAAGACTTGTTAAAATCGCTCAACACATTGTCATATTGACGGAGTTGATAATAGACATATCCCCTTATACTCAATACCCATGCGTTATCCTGTTCAATCTCTAGCGATTTATTGAGATCGATCAATGCGCTGTCATATTGTCCAAGCCTGTGGTATATATCCCCTCTTATACTCAATGCCCAAGCGTCGTTCGGTTCAATTTCCAAAGATTTATTAATATCGTTCAAAGCATGGTTATATTGATTGAGTCTGTAATAGACGGCTCCCCTCACACTCAATGCCCACGCATTCTCTGGATTAATCTCTAATGATTTGTCAAGATCGTTCAACGCACTGTTGTATTGATCGAGCATGCGATGAATGTCACCTCTTATGCTCAACGCCCACGCATCGCTCGTGTCGATCCCTAGCGATTTGTCGAGATCACTCAATGCATCATTATAGTCATTGAGTATGTAATAAATATTTGCTCTTGTTTTCAATGCTAATGTATCATTAATGTCAATATTCAATAATTTATCGAGGTCATTTAATACATCATAATACTGTTCAGGAGTGTAACCGGCGGAACCTTCTGATCCCATTTCATCATTTACTTTGTTCACTAATGAGTCACTATCACCATCCAATATATGAGACATGCTTTGCAACAGAAACGACAATAGGAACATTGACATTGCATTGTTGTGGTACGAACTTATCATCCGCAGCAGCGGATAGGTACACAAACCATTTTTGGGCTTAGTAACATTTATGGTGAAACAATAGACAGCGTCTGAACATATATGCAGAGATGAGATGATAAACTGCATACTTGATTTTATTATACTACCGCCAACAGTATATTACGGATGTCAAAAAGGCCGTTAATAATAACAATACATTACTAGTTCAGGTTGTAATGCAATAAATTGTTTTATTAATAACGTTTACAATAATTGCATGCAACGAAATGATGAGAAAGCGCATAGTGATGATGCTACGTATACGGCTTTAAGCAAGAATAATTAAAAAAAAAAGAGCATAAGTAGTAATCGAGCTTGTTCAAAGATTGTATTTAAATATCTTCAAAACTTTGATTGTTTAAAAACCGTAAACTGCTAATGTGTGTTTATGGAAAATTCTTGCTTTGTTTGAATCAGGTCATTCAATCGAAAGGCATTTATTTCATCGACAATCATTTCACCGACAGTACACTTCACCGACAGTCATTTCATGTGACACATTGTTTATCGTACTTATCATTGGTTTTCGATGAAATTTATGTTGGTGAAACGTACTGTCGGTGAAATGATTGTCGATGAAATGAACCGGACCCAAATTAATTGGTATCGTATGCTGCTTGAGCGTAGCTTCCAAAGGCTAAGCTAACAACTAAGAATACAATAATTGATTAAAATTTATACTTTTCTATTCTGTACATTCTGCGATTAACATATTCCATATAACTTATTCTCAGATTTAGTGTGAATGCTTTATAGTCGATACAACTATATTTTTACACTGTCGATATGCAAATATACACTAATATTTATTGATCCAATAAATTTGTACACGGACAATACACACTAACGATGTATAATCTAAATTTATCTAGAAACATATTAATAACAATAATGTCCGAAGATTTGAGTAGGTCAGGAAACAATTAATTATAGCAAATTTGCCAATGCATTCACGCGTAGACTCTAAAGAAGACAATGTAAAATTAAATTCTAAGCCTTTGTCAAAGCTGTCGCTCCTTTATCTCCGATCCTGCAGTCAGAAAGCAATTTAAACCCTTTGCCAAAACTGGTTAAGTATACTAATAAAATTCTCAAACCTCTGTAATAGACAAAGAATTTCGATTAACACTGATCTTTTCATAGATGTGAGCATGCGTCAAAAAACGGTTGGCAGTCTACTAGAATAAAATACGTTTGCAGAAATTTCCTTATTGGAATATTTTTTCGCTGAGAAGAATTTGACAATTTGTATGCCTTTTATAGAATTCTGATGCAAACTCTTATCGGTATTATTCGTGAGCATGTTTGGCGAGAATAACATGGCCAGATTTTACAAGGAGATAATATTGTTTGAAATAGCAACGAAAAAAATAACGTCAAAGCACTTCTTTGTATACAAAGACTAATTAACTTTTGTCATTCAATAGCTAGCTATTATTTTTACGTTTGGGACGTTGTAATTTTAAGACTATTACTATGAGTAGTTATTATGATGTTTTGCAATATATCATGGCGCTCGAGCTTTGTCGGGCGATTACAATTATGCATGTTAATATTAAGATAATATCACTATATTAATGTTGGCATATCACAACGTCATAGATAGCATTTATCAACATCACTCAGCACTGTCTCTCCCTCAACTACAGATTGTACGTTATTGTGGATAATGTAATATCTGGTTCATAGAATAAACAAATACAACGTATTTCAATATACAAACAATATTCTCGCTAACGGAAAAGGATTGGTTGCGTCAAATTGCAATCTATACTTTTTTATCTTCTACATTTGTCTGTGATTACTATGCAAATCATTAATAATTAAGTAAATTTTATTATTGATATACGTGGTTTGGATTTATCTCGCAATAAATAGAAACTATTAATAATATAGTGTCCCAAAGTTCTCTAACCACATTACTTTGGTGGTGGGCAAATTAATCTAGCAGACTTGGTTTGCAACTTGGTGACACCAACCAGCCAGTGAAAATAAGTCCGTTACAATTTTCGCCACTGTAAAATTTGTAAACAACGTTGCTGGGAGCACTGGCTACACTTATGGGATCTGTAAGATCAGTTCCAAAACAGCCAGATTGTCCACCGGTTGTATGAGTAAATTGACCTTTGAGAACTAACAACGTGAAAAAAATTTTATTAATAAGCAAATGCCTTTCATCATAAACAAACTTCTATTAAATTTAACGTTAAACTTACCGATTTCACATGGTGTTTGAGCAGGAACGGCATAGGTTCCAGCAGCCAAACTGACAATCAAGAATACGAGGATAGATTGGATTTTCATTTTCTTCTTTGTTTTTGCTTGTGAGCAGGTTTAACGATATATATGAATTGTGTGTGCAAATGTATTCGATTGTTTACAATAAGATGTGTGAGCTTGCTGAAGGGAGAGCAGGTCTTCTTTTTATAAGGATTTGGATGCTATAGAAATATAACTTTTTGTAAAAAAAATTTATAGCGCATAAGGTTTCCATCCAAATCAGATCATTTGGCACAGCTGTAATGTCCCAGGACCTATATGTAATTATAGCGCGCATGTTTCAGTGCAGCGTTTAATTCTATTATTACATGAAGTAAAAATTAGCACAGGAAGGTACCTATTTTTAAAGATCACTATCATGTGATCATTATTAGTAATGAGAAGTTGGGCATCAATCTATTTCAAGTAGCAGTATATTTCTGATAGTGATCATCAGGGAATTGTCCCGATTGGTTAAATTTAATTTCTTATTAGGAAACTGGGACCAAAGTTATTCTGTTTAGACTAGCCTTGTATAGCCCATTGGCTCGTGTAGGAAAAAAGAGTAATGTCTCATTTACTGCTCTTTCTATAAGCATAACTCTTTAATAACACCAACAATATAAAATGTCCTAACTTAATACATAACCATTTTGAAATCTATAAGGATCTTGAACTTTAGGACATGTAAAATTAAACGTAATTTATTTATATATGTTATATATAAATCCCGTCAAAGAACCCCAAAATTGGACGACCTCCCTAAAATTTTTTTGCTTATCACAATTAACCAATTCACTGACAGCCATCACTGCTTGCAACTATGTAATATCAATAGAAACCTTGTGATTACTATTATTGTAAAGGAAATTTACTTATTCATATGTAGCATAGAACTGGGATATGAAAGCCGTCATATAAGTTCCTACCCTTTGATGTTACACCTAAGGGCCACTCTTTGTAGTATTAGTATTAATTGTTGTTATAATATTATCATTGTTGTCAGTGGATTATCTTAGCAAACTATTTATTATTATGTCTCTAATCATAATATTATTGTTGTTATCAGTGAAAGCTATTTATATCTCTAATCGTAATATTATTGTTGTTATAATATATCAAGCTTTATCAAGGGTTCACTCCTCTTCCAATTATATGTTATACTTCCATGTATGTCCGTATGATTGAATTAATAAGATTCCAAAATAAAATCATGTGCATTTACTATTAGCAGCTTTTGTCAGGTGTGAGAAAATATTAATATGTACACAGTTTAACAAAGGCTATGATTCCAATCCATTAAATCAGTAAATCTGCTAAATTGAGTTTTCACAATATACCAGATATCATAATGAACCATTATATCAACTTTATTGGGCAATTTTTAATTAATATGTTAGAAAGCCTTGCAATTATTTATGTTGTTAGATTTGAACTATAACATAAGTATTAATTCACATACTTTATTGCCTTATCTGTTAGTATTATGTTTTAGGTATACTATGGAATGTCCTACTTATCTGTTAGAGATATTCAATTATTGAAAAAAGTATAGTATGAGGAAAGTCAATCAACAATAAAATCAACAAATTTTTGCCAGTTTTGCCAACATGAGATAGGTGCTATTCCAACATGTAGCTGTCGGATCGCCACACGTGGGAGAGCGTTCGTGTAACGACCTTGGGATTTAGTCGTCTTCCGGCGGAACTCTTAGG